CTTATGAAACATTGTCCCAATAGCTTCATTTATAAAAAAGAATTCTCTGATAACTTCTAGTTCACGTGACATTGTACTCATTAAATTAAGTGATTTTGTTCCGGTCCTAACATATAAAAAGCATGGCCAGCATCAATTGTGGGTATGCCACGATTTAACATAAAGTTTTCTTGGTATACAAAAGGAAAAATGACATAAACGGTCCTTGAACTTTAACCCAATGTGAAATATGATCCATGAATTTTTAATTTATTTAATGTGGTCTCTGTACTTTAATCCAATGTGCAATGTGATCCATGAACGTTTAATTTTGTTCAATGTTGTCCCTGAAATTTTGGTAAATATTCAATTTAGTCCATGAACTATATGAAATTATTAAATGTAATCCTTCTATTAATTCAAGTTCATGGACTACATTGAACATTTTTATATAGTTCAAACATGTACCAAAAGTGCAAGAATCATATTTAACAAATTAAAAGTTCAAGAACTACATTTAACATTAGGCTAAAGTTCAAGGATTATATTGAGAAAATTAAAAGTTTCGGGACCACATTATACATTGGATCAAAGTTCGGGGACTGTTTGTAGCATTATCCCTATACAAAACTATTAGTGGCAACATAACAATCCAACTTCGTGGCCCAACTATGCCTAGGGGACAACTGGGCTTTAATCTTCCAAACATCATTTAGCCTACTAATTAGGCTCGAGAGAAGAGCTTTATGAGTTTGTCTAAGTACACTGCATTTTAATTTTTTCCCATTAAGAAAAAAGTAGACCAACCAGGATTTGAACATCGTCCTATTTTGTTTGGAAAAACATTAAAGATATTGAGACTAATTTATAAAGTTGGTTCTGGGAATGACATGACGTATTATACATATTTACATTCACTAGCAATCATCTGTATAGTATTTTTTTTTTTGCTCGAGTAAAAATTGCACCCACGATTATTCTTAGGATGAAATACTCTCTTTTTTTTTTTAAATTTCCTTCTAGTTTTAAATCCCAAGCTCCAAAATCAACTTCGCCATATACAGGGCTGTTAACTTTTCTCAATTACTTGGAACTTAGTTTAACATCCTTGCTTGTGCAATCATTTGTACGTTAGACTCTAGTATGGAGGTAATCTTTTTAATCACCTTTAATCAATAAGTACGATCGTTTATCCACTTCTTTCGCTATAGTGTTCAATTTCTTCACCTTAGATATGGTGTCTTTGATTTAAAACCTCACGGAAGCAACCCATGATGTAAACCATTTTATACACGGGATGTGTTGAATGAGCCGATAAAAGAAAAAACTTAATCGGCAGGGAGATTTCATAGACAAAAAAAGTCGTATAAACATCTCCTACTCAAGCAATGCGCGAGGCCTCTTAAGATGGTAAAGATTATAGGACGATTGTGAATATGATTAGTGCATATCAAAAGCCAGCTCAACGCCAATGACAGAGAATTAGGAGGATGATTTGGATATGGATTAGGCTCAATTTGGCCGTTTGCTTCTTGTAATAAATCACATAAACTGGAATAGTATTTTTAAACAATTATACACCCATGAAGTGGGGTGCCTGTACTCTGATCATGTAGCCAACTTTCGATTTATGAGATCACGATAGGACAAAAGATAGCTTCTCCCACTTGTTATATCATTAATTATAAAAGTTCCTCTTCCCTTAACGTTGTTTATATTTTAATTAATTTATTTTTTTTTCATAGAATATCTTCTTTAGTTTAATTAAAGTGGTTATATTTATCAAAAGTTAACAAATTTTTATTTTCTAATAGTATTATGTTTTTTTTTCGACTATTACTATTTCAATTGATTTAGTTTTCTCCCATTTTCTATATTTTTTATTTCTTATGGCGATTAAGGGAAAAGAGACATTTTCTTCACACAAGAAAAAAGAGGTGAGATATATTTTCACCCTTTAAAAGCCGCACGCATTGCACATGCTAACGGAAAAAAAATAATTGAAAGTTGACGGCATTAACAATATAAAAAGTTAATGAGATATTGTGTAATGTTGAAATTCGGGGGCAAACGTGTATTACCCTCGAATTTCATTGACGGGTTATCTGAAATATTGATAAGAATAAAATAACGAGTAAAAGTCACCAAAAATTCTAAACTATATCCAATGGGACACATTTATTCGAAAATTTTTTTCGTGACACAAAAAATCCTAAACTTGTGTCATGACTTGTGCATGCATGACACATTTAACCTTCATCAAAATTCTATCAATGAAAATCGTTAAAAATCTACCTACATGAATGCCGAAAAGTAAACGGAGTTGACACGGTGCCCACGTTGGCTGCAAAATCACCGAACGAGACATTGACGGAGGATAAATATGTCACATAGATATAAGTTTGGAGTTTTTTACGGTACAAGAAAAAGTTCAAAGTAAATATGTCACAATGGGCATAGTTTGAGGCTTTTGACGTCACAAAAAAAAAGTTCGGAGTAAATATATCGCAATCGGCATAATTTAGAGTTTTCATGTGGCTTTTTTTCCCTAAAATAGAATTCTTCTCGATGGCCGCATTGTTTAACTATTAAGAAACGGATACACGAGACTTGACTTGACTTCACCGGGGGGGGGATGCAGCACGACACGACCGCAGACGGACGTGCGCTCACAATTCAATCCCCAAAAACCGTGTAAACGCCAACTCGGCTCCTTTCCTTTCAAAATGAGACCATTTGACCAAATCAACCCCTGTCCCCCAGCCGAAGTTTCGAGCCACCACTGACGCATCTTTCTTGTGCCGTCTACGCGTTTTTGCTTTTGCTTTTGCCGTTGCTTTCCTTTTCCTCCGTCCCTCGGTCCCATCTTCAGATGCCACGTAATCACAAGCTCCTTTTTAATGTCGATAAATAGACCTAGTTTATGCATAATGCGGACAGTCGTGCATGTCGTGGGACCCGCTTCAATCTATTACCTTATGTCAATCCGATAGGTCCCAGAGCATGTTGAGGAGATAATCCTTTGTCTTTAGGCGAAGAAAGAGAGAAAAAAGATAGGGGGACCTTTTCGTGGGGGTTTGTTCTTGAAAATTGCAAAATCTTGTTGTTATTGTAATGCACGTTGTCTCAACGAATGCCACCATCATTGAAATTGGTCGGTACGAGTGGCTATTACTTAGATTCCGAAAGCCATCTCTATACTATATGCTTATTCTGACACAATCATGGCTTAGTATAAAGGATTAATATAACGAAAAATCCTAAACTAATATACATGTGGCAAATTTACTCAAAATTAATTTTTTCACCACAAAAAAACTTTAACCTGATACATTTATGACAAATTCATCATTCGTTAAATTGGATTAATACCAAGAAAAATCACAAGCCGATACACATGTCACAAACGGAAGGGTAAAACTCCAAACTGGTATACCCGTTAACTCTCACGTGTCATCCAACTTAGCAATTTAAAGGTAAAATTTAACGGAAACTAACGGAGGGTAAATTTGTCACAGGTGTATCAGTTTGGGAGCTTTCGTGGTATTAACTCTAGAATAAACTGCTTAGTCGAAACAATTGGACGAATCTCTATTTTAGTCTTTAGCATAGTCAGCCTTGAGTTTGAAAAACCCGACGAATTCATTCAATTTTACTTATTCGACTCTTCTTGGGGTAAATGGAAAACGGGTCTCGAGAATGAACAACAGAAGTCGTATTACGGAACTGGCGATACACCAAGGATGTGAATTTCGCGGAATGGTCATCATAGTTTAGTTCCGCGGTACACCATGAATGTGAATTTCGTGGAATGATGATCACATGGTTTACAAAAACCGCCGGCCAAAAAAGGGGTGAAAAGTAGGAACAGATCTCAACATCAAACGATTGAAAAGTAGGAGAACAATATGACTCAGAATAATTACGCACGAGAATGGAAATGGGGAGGAGCTACTTTGCTGGTGAATTTTCCGAACGATGCAACTTAGGAAACTTCGCAAGTCATTATTACCACGAGAAGGACTCTTATGTTCTTTCCTCCCCCTCCAAACCTTATCCTACAAAAGCACCATGAAAAAAAATGATTAAAAAATTTACCGAAGAAGGCGATGTCGCATTGGTTCGTGCATCTCAATACCCACGGGTCGCATATTCTTGGTTTAAGAATACAAAATATTTTTTTTTAATTTTTTGCTGGAAAGATTATCCGACATGCTGAACTCTCCAACTTTTCAAAAGCGATTTGGATGTTTTCTCGCTCGATGAATCTTCAATTGACGCCAAGTCATCTTTATTCACGTGCAATAGCAAATAAGCCTTCACTCACTCACCGAAGGGCAATTTTCGAAATTATCATGTTATCATATTGGATGTTATCATATTGGATCAAGTTGTAATAATTTCACCTCACTTATGATGAAAAGGTTCGAGATTCACGAGTTCAACGCCATACCCAATTAAAATGTTAGCAGTCAGAAATTCACTTCGACGATGTATGTACCACAAAAAACTCCAGACTTGTACACCCGTGATAAATTTACTTCAAACTAATATTTTGACCGCGAAAAACCCCAAACTGGTATACATCCGATAAATTTACCAAAAATTAATTTTTTTGACCATAAAAAACCTCAAACTGGTACATTTGTGACAAATTTACCCTTCGTTAAATTGAATTAATATTATGAAAAATCATAAACTGGTATATCTGTGACAAACGAAAAGTGAAACTCCAAACTTGTTCACATATCAACTATCACGTGTCATCAAATTCAGAAATTTGACGGTAAAATTTAACGAAAACTAACGAACGGTGAAATTATCACTAACGTACCGATTCGGGATTTTTTTATAGTATTAACTCCTGTTTTTATCACTTGGCAGCCACTTTGGTGGTGCGGGAGAAATTATGTTTAAGCTGCATACATCACGTTATGCTAGTACAGAAAAAAGTCAATATCTCGACTTAATTGAACAGTTGACCCAAGTTCTTGTTAAAGAGTGGTCTGTGAAGCCGTGTTTCGTTCCAGTCACAGTTTGCCTGCCTTTTTCTCCCGATTCTCGAACACGTTTTCCTTGAAAAAAACTCCCAAATCACGATCCAGAGCTGCCTTGTTTTGTCGGCAACCTCCGCTGATTGTCTCCCCCAATCTCAGTTTCATCTCACGGATCGTCTGCCCTTCCGTGGTGTAGTCACCGACCCGTGATTCATCCGTCAGCTCCCGAGCAAAAGAGTCAAAAACTTTTTTTCTCTCTGATTCCCTCGACTCTCGGCGCATTCTGCACACGATTCTTGATTCCGGAATCCGATCTTTCCTCCGCTTCTGATCGTTGTTTGTTCTCTCCGAAGAGAAATAAAGACATGGGTTGTTGCCTCACTAAGGACAAAGCTCCAGAGCCGCAGCAAAATGGGTACAGATCTGTGGGTGCGAATTACCAGAGACCCTATGAACAACAGCAGCAGCAGCAGCAGCAGCAGCAACAACCTGTCGTGGTTCAACAGCACAAGCCTCCTTCGAATCATTATCAGCCCCAGCAAGTTGCGTTCAAGAACTCAGCCCCGTTCCCGAGCCCCAAGCCAGCCCAGAAGGTGGACACAATCCTGGGCAAGCCCTATGAAGATGTCAAGTACCACTACGCACTCGGGAAAGAACTGGGTAGAGGTCAGTTTGGTGTCACTTATCTCTGTACTGAGATTGCCACTGGTCGGCAATATGCTTGTAAGTCCATTTCAAAGAGGAAGCTTGTGTCCAAGAATGATAAGGAGGACATGAGGAGGGAGATTCAGATCATGCAGCATTTGAGTGGCCAACCCAATATAGTGGAGTTCAAGGGTGCTTATGAGGACCGGCAATCGGTCCACCTCGTGATGGAGCTCTGTGCCGGTGGCGAGCTTTTCGATAGGATCATCGCCAAGGGGCACTACAGCGAGAGAGCCGCGGCTACAGTCTGCAGGGCGATTGTAAATGTTGTTCATGCGTGCCATTTCATGGGTGTTATGCATAGGGATCTCAAGCCTGAGAACTTCTTGTTGGCTAGCAGGAATGAGAATGCCCCCTTGAAGGCTACAGATTTCGGATTGTCCGTGTTCATCGAAGAAGGTGAATATTCTATTTTTCACTTAAAAATTCTTCCTGTTTGGTTGGTTCATTGCTGGAATTATGGAATGAAATGGACCAGCTTTCACTTTTGGAAGTGAAATGGTAAGTAGTTTGCAATTTTAGGATATATTGAACCTTCAGCTATGGTGAGGAAATGTTAGAATGGTGCCAGTCAGTTCTTCAAGGAGTCTAGAGTGCATGTAAGATCATTACATGCGAAGGGTATAGCAATGAGCTGATAATTTATTCGTAAGTATACGTATTCCTTGACTCTAGTTAAGTTTTGGCAAATTAATGAACTGGGAGTGAATTTACTCTTATCACAAGGATGTGAATTTCGGCACATTGTATACTACCCTCTTTTAGGAGGTTAGATGCTGAGTTGCTGCATGATTTTCTACAGAAGAGTAGTATTTGGCACAAACTTGTGTCGTTTATTCCTGTCAAAGATTGTAGCAGGTCCCTGATGTCTCTTGTACAACGCTAGATGCTTGAAAGGCAGTTGTTGCTTGCAAGTGAAAATTGATGTGGTGTACAACTGAGATTTGCTGTTGCTGGTTGCTGACGAAAGTATCTTTGCAGTTAGGCTCAGCTCTATGTTCTGTTATAGCTCTCAAACTTTAGAAGAAATTGAGTGGATATTACTTAGCATAATTATGCATATGGCTTTTTTGACTGTATCCATTGCTTACCTCTTATTTTCCAGGCAAGGTGTACCGGGATATTGTCGGGAGTGCTTACTATGTTGCTCCTGAGGTTTTGCGGCGTAATTACGGGAAGGAAATAGACGTTTGGAGTGCAGGAGTCATACTTTATATCCTACTCAGTGGCGTGCCTCCATTCTGGGCTGGTAAAGACTATATCCTTCTCTTTGTCCTTTGTTTCCTTACATAATTCTTCATGCTCTAAGGAGTACGTAGTTCAATCATCTCTTCAGAACCATGCCAAACGGTAAAGCAGTGCATGATTTTGGCATCGGTAGTATCTAATAAGCGCGCATTGCAGAAACAGAGAAGGGGATATTTGATGCGATACTGCAAGGAGATATCGATTTTGAAAGTCAACCATGGCCAACTATATCCACTAGTGCTAAGGACCTGGTCAAGAAAATGTTAACGAAGGACCCGAAGAAAAGGATTACTTCTGCACAGGTTTTAGGTGATTTTACTTCTGCCTTACAAGACACATGCTCTTAGAAATGTTTGATGCGAGTCAATTTTTTAGATTTCCTTTTGACTTGGAAGCCTCCATGCTACTCTATCAGAGGATATGATTGTTTCGCAATATATGAAGTATGAGAAATGCTAGCTCTTTTATCTAAGCTTGGGTTTATGACTAATGAGATTCTTTCCACTAAACAATGAAAGTAGGAGTCATCTTCTGGCATGTTACTTCTCTAGATATGGTCCAAATGTCAAACTTGCCAGTACATTAGAAGCTTATATTATCTTCTGATCAACCACGTGCTATTTCTGTCTCATACAGAGCATCATTGGATTAAGGAAGGTGGAAATGCATCAGACAAGCCAATAGACAGCGCTGTCCTTTCAAGAATGAAGCAATTCAGAGCAATGAACAAGTTGAAGAAACTTGCATTGAAGGTTAGTCCCTGCATTATTGGAGTGCATCTTGTTTCTTTATGTCCCTATTTGTATTTGCTGAAAGAGTATACAAGTGTAACTGAAGGGATTGTTTCTGGATGGGAATGTTTCCCATGTTTCCAAATTCAAATTATTTGTGTTTGCTAATTGTTTGACAGTATGTTTAGTTCAAATTGCTATTTCCAAGTCTTAATTTAGTACAGAGATTGACTAGGCAATCATTTCATGCTAATGACTTTGCTATTGTAAAATGAAAATAGGTAATCGCTGAAAATCTATCTGAAGAAGATATTCAAGGGTTGAAAGCAATGTTCGCGAATATGGATACCGACAAGAGTGGAACGATCACCTATGAGGAGCTGAAGACTGGATTGGCTCGGCTTGGATCGAAGCTCACAGAGGCAGAAGTGAAGCAGCTGATGGACGCAGTAAGATATATGTTATGGAGTGCCCAACTTATTCAACCTGATTTTTTTTTTTTTTTTGGTGCGAGGAAATTGAATTGGTGCGACTGATATCCTTGTTCTGTACTTCAGGCTGATGTGGATGGAAATGGAAGTATTGACTACATTGAGTTCGTAACAGCTACAATGCATAGACACAAGCTAGAGTTAGATGAACATCTTTACAAAGCCTTCCAGTATTTCGATAAGGATAATAGTGGGTAAGTGTTCCCTTCCCACATGTCATAAACTGTTAAAGAATCGGGACTTGTGTCACAGTGAATTTCACGGTCCATCTCTCCAGACATTGAATATGGATCTACTTGGTTATACCCGCAATTTATCGAAGGCACTTCATGCCTCAAATTCTATTTGATGTTTGAAGTTCTTCCTTCTCTGCATTAAGTGTAAAAACGACTACTGACGCAAGTGATTATTTTTTTTTCTCGATTTTTGCAGGTTCATCACAATGGATGAAATTGAGACAGCCATGAGAGGATATGGAATGGGAGATGAAGACACTATTAAAGATATTATAGCCGAAGTTGACACAGACCATGTGAGTTTGATTTCCTTTGGATTTAAGGTTGCTTTTTGTTTTGAAAAAAAATTCTGGTTAATGTTTTCCTCTACAAGTCTTGTGAGAATTCATATCTTTTAATTTTATCCTTGCTTTTCTGTGGAATCTTCACTCGGCACATTTTGTGCTCCTTCATCGCTTTGTTCCCTATTAGGGATTATGCTCGGTAAAACCAAAGAACTCGTTCGTGAATTCTAGGTTTCCTCTTTTCCAGATGGTATTGCCGTTCAACTTTCTAGAAAGCTAATCCCGTTGAACACGTCTATTTTCTTCACTGACAATGGTTCGGAAGTCCCACAAAAGCACCCGCACACTCTTTTTAGCATGACGAGCTTATACGTTTTCTTCTGTGTCGGCAGGACGGCAGAATCAACTACGAGGAGTTCTGTGCAATGATGAGAAGTGGAAACCAAAACCAGGGGAGACTGTTCTAGGCACCAATCAACAACTAGGAGGGGCTCTTTCACGCCTACAGACGAACTATTGTAAATTGAAGTTAAGCACTCTAAAATATGGAAGCTGTTTCTTGACCTGGAAAGTTGATTCTACTTCGAGATATATTTTTGTTCGCCTGAGATGCCAAATAGAGGACGCAGCTCATGGCATTTTTTTGGGCCTTTCCTATGGTTCATTTTTGTACTGTCAATTTCTTGAAGATCACTGTGAGAGAAGATGTCATTTGAAAACACAGCCTGGCTGAAGAAGCTGCCTCTTTGCTGTTGTAAATAATTGTAAAATCCTCTCTTTTGAACCTTCATGGTTCCGAAACCTGAGAGGGGTAAAACCCGAGTACGGAGGAATATTGACTTTGTTTGCAGTTTTTTGTCTGATTGATAGTTCGAATTGTTGTCATCTTGCTTAAGGTTTGCCATAAATGAAGTAATTGATGGAGGTTACGGCATTTTTATTAATGGAGACATTCTGTCTGTTCCTAAGAAAGGATGACAAGCTTCTATAGACATCTCAAAGCCGTAGGAAAACACATATGCACTCTTGTATGGATTAAATGTAGAAATGATATGACCTGCTGCACCGGCAGCTACATTTCATGGTTCTTTAATTGCCTATACGCAGTTTCCATGTACCCAGATTAGACTGTCATGTTCTTTCTAATCACGATTGTATGGCAATTAAAGTTGGTAAGGATGAAGAACATTAACATTCATTTGGTCAAGCCACCATAGATCTACCCCGCCGTTTTTTTTTTTTATCATGGGAAGTTTTCTCCTGACCCATAAATCACAACACCATGTTTTGGAAATTGAACAAACAAATCAACACGAGGAGTTATCATATCGACATCTGAACTTCCAAATCCCATTCTCCACAAAGGATCATAACACCCCATTGAGGTATACAAGTCTAGACAGCATCAAAGAGAAAGCAAAAAGGAGGAAAAACACAACCTAACAACTTCTCCAGCAGTCAAAGCCACCGGATTATTCAGGATTCTACAGAACCCACATAAAAGCAAGCACCACCAGTAATTATAGTAGTAGACACACGACACAGTGACCGATCATGAACCCTGGTCTCTCTTAGAAACCATGAATCTTGATCTGGTCTTTCTTCACGAGGCCGGCCTGGACCAGAAAGTGGGAGACGTTCTTCCGCTGGTCGCCTTGCAGTTGAATGATTTTTCCGAGCTCCTTGTCCTGGACAACATTCCCATTACAGCAGAACTCCTTCTTCAGATCCTTGAGGATCTTCTCGTAGCTGAATTCTTTCTTCAGCCCCTGCACAGTGGTCAGGCTTTTCTTTCCATTCCTTTGCTGGATGCGTATGTGAACATACTCTTTTGCCCCAGGGGCACCCGAGTCCTTGCCCTCAGCGAATGGGTCGAAAGCAGTTGGAAGCTCGAAGTCTCCTTCAACCATGTAATTTGCTGGGTTTGGACTTCTAGAACCGAAGAAAGAGGATGCTGCAGTAATCAAACACCGAAAATCGTATACAATTAGCTCAGACATAATGAACCAAACGGATACTCACAATTCAATAATACAGAACTAGACATGGCAAAGTTGTACACAACCACATCCAACCATGGCGAAGAAATAGAAGCCGTACTCTTGACAATCAAGAGAGGACCAATTCAATGAGAACCGGTGAGTGTTTGTGGCGAAAGAACACGAACATATAAAATAATCTTAACAGACCATCAACATATAATCTGATCAAAACTATTCCGAACCCCAGAGGAATCCCAACCTCCAGCACCTACTTCTTAAACCAAGAAACAGGGAGACTATTCTGAACCCCAGAGAAATCCCAATCTCCGGCTTCTATATCTCAAACCAAGACACGGGGTTCTTTCACAGCCAGCACAACCAAGAGCACGTCATCAAAACTAAGTCCACGATAACCAACAGGAAGCAGAATTACGGGATGCAAACACCGCACGCGTGCCGCGTATAATATCCCAGAAAAACAAGAAACAAGAGCGCACAAGCACAAAGATCGCGTGAAAGACAGGGATCGAACATAAACCGCAGCAACCAGAGAACGGTCAACCGACAACTACTTCACATGAACCGAGCTTCTCCACGACAAGAACATCCACGGTCGTTCCCTAACCCATCGACCATGATCATCGCTAGCAGAAAAAGCGAACCCCATAGAAAGATTCCAACTTCACGACAAGAGCAGAGAACCCAAAAAACCCCTATCTCTACAGAGGAGAAAGAGAAAGGTTTCTCGAGGCAAATTTCGGAGGCTTTACCAGAAGAAAATATCGGCAGAAGAAGCTGATCGCGAGATCAAGAGCGCAACTACGGAAATCGATGAGAGACTCTGCAAGCCAGAAGAGGGGCAATATATAGGGCCGTTGGGAGTCGGTATGATACCAGCCACACGAATTGGACCCGGTTGGTGGTGGGGCCCCCCGTCCCCGCGCGTGCCGAATACCGTGCCTTCAAAGGAAGAGCCTTGGACGGTCCAGATGGTCGAGTGATCGCGCGGCGCGAGTTGGGACAGCTCAGCAGCCGTGACGATCGGGCGTAAAACGCGTGGACAGGACGCAACCCCACCCCCCCCCCCCCCCCAAGCACGCGCGAGCGAGCGGTGGTGGGGGGTGTCGGCGATCCCATCCCGGATTCGGTCGCGCTGGGTGGGTCCCGCGAAAGGCGGTTTTGTTCTGATTTTTTTTGGTGTCGATGGAGAGAAGAATCGAGAAAGGGGAAACGATAAGCACGTGGCCCGTTCAAGTGGCATATCCGCTGATTTGGATGAAGCAAAAATCCATAATAATCTCCTGTTGTTTTTTGGGGCTGAGCTGGTCAAAAATATCGAAAATATATATAATGAAAAGGAAAAATTCGATTCCTAGAGACTTTTTTTTTGTTCTTTCGGGGTCAATATGGTACCTAGAGACTGACGAAGAAGGGGATGAGGAAGAAATTGAGAAGCCCAAAAATTACGCTGGAAAGGAAAGTTAAGGCGTGTCGTCCCTTGGGCTGGCAAGGCCCGGGCGTCAGTTAGTGCCGTGCAAGTCCACGTGCTAGGCCCGGGCACGGGGATGCCAGAGCTTTGTTTCTCTTTAAGTATTTGCAAAAACATTTTATTTTTTTGGTTTTAATATCGAGCAATTGTTTGTATTGCTTGATTTTTTTTTCCTTAATCTTTAACACGATAAATAAGGAATAAAAAATATCAAGCCCAGGCATAACGTGCCTTCACCTGGGCTGGAAGCAGAGCTCCAGCCAGGACAATTCGGCCGGTTAGAATCGGTTCAAGGTTCATAGCTGGGAGTTGAAGGGGCAGGTTCTCGATTGGCACAAGGTACGCGTGGTTTCTTCCTTTGGACCACGGAGCACGATTTATATTCCTAATCCAGATATTATGTAAGCAAACTTCATTCACGATGACTATCCACTTGCTTTTAAATACAATGACATTGGAAACAAAAATTCTCAGCAGTTGCCATCAATATCAATCTCGCTTGGATTGACTTTTGTTTTGGTCTAATTTGAATCTTGCGTGGAGCATGCCTTGTTTTTTCGAACGAAACACCTAAACATTCATAAGATAGAATAGTCGGCGCATAAATTTAAATACCATTCTTTTTGTAATATTTTTTTGGAAAATCGGATAACATTTTACATGCGGAGGAAAAGGCAAAGGATAACTATTTTTTTTTTTTTTGATAACCCAGGGAACCCCCGCACGGCCGACAGCCGGGGAGTAAACCTTGGGGGCGGCACGTGCTAGCCACCACACACGTGCCACCGGTTAAGTCACCTGCGGCGCCCGGGATTCGAACACTCAACCTTTTGCGAGAGGAAGAGTGCGCGCTCCAGCAGCGCCACCCAGGCGGGTGGTGGCGAAGGATAACTATTACTTATGCCTAATACAAAAAAAAAAAAAATCAAGTCCAAAGTTCAATTTGAAGGACTAAAATTACACATAAGCTTTAATTGATTGATCATGCTCCGTCTAAAACTGCAACTCGAAACTGAAAAAAGAGCGGTGACGGTCTTGCCAAAGTCGGTGGCGCCGGCATCCTCTGGTTCTTACATGATACGCACATTATACCCTCATCACTGGTATTTTCTCTCTTTCTCTCTCACATCTTCGTCGCCCCCAATTTTCATGGAAAAGGGCAAAGCTAAGTTGGCGGCAGTCACCGATCCCGTTCCCAAGCTCGATTCCGTCTCCAGCTCCACCAGTTCGGATCGTAAATCCGCCGCCTCCTCGCTCCGATCGTCAGGTCTCTTTCCCTCTCTCTCTCTCTCATTCTCGTCTGTTCGTACATGTACGCTTGCCGATGTGATCGATTGTGTTGTTACTTGTTTGTGATTGTGAGTTCCTACACGTATCGAGCGATCGATCGTGTCGTTCGTGAGGATTTCGGTTGTCTTTGACCTAGATTTGAGTTCACGATGCGGTTTGCTGTAAATTTGGCCGCCGTAAGAACGATTTTTCCTCTTTGTAAACTGGTTTGATCGTTATAGTCTCTCTTTTGCCTCGTCGCTTGTGATGTGCTGTTATGTGGACGAAGCATTAACGTCTGAATCCAGGACTATTTCTGTCCAGAAGCTCGGACGCAGTGGTTTTTTTTTTCCTTTTTTTCGATTTACTTTGGCGATAAATGATCTGGAATGGTTGTGCCTGTCCGGCTATTGCTGTAAATGGATACTGTACTGTAGCTTTTGTGAGTATGGGCTAGTATGGGATATGAATCTGCTCTGTTTACTGACTGCATCGTGGTTGTCCATATAGGGCCGCCGATCAAGAGGTCGAAGCCGCCAAGTCTAGTCAGTCTGTGTGTGGGGGTTATCGGCAAGCACTTGGAGGATATAATTGCAGATTTGGAAGAGATTGCCGTTACCTTCCCTCCGGATATTAAGGTCTTCATTTGAATTTTTCTGATGTATAGTTGTGCGAACTTAACTCTTGCAGCCGGAGATAATTATTGGGCAGTCTGTGCGTTAAGAGCGATGCGAGCACGCTCATGTCGTCGAGTTGTCCTTTACAGTCCTATTCTATTGTTTGTGCCAATTCATTACTTGTGTTCAGTTCTATCGTTCTCATCAAATTTCACCAGAGAGTAGAGAACTCTTCCTCGTTCTTCGATGTTGTGATGAGAAGCCGTTTTATCTACGGCATCAGTTGTTGCGTCATTTTTGGAGTTGCCTTCACCTAGGCAGCTATGTGTTATCAAGGGTTCACATCTTAACGTGATTGTTTCACTCGATTAGTGTATGTTATTTCATGCATAAGTCATGCAAAGAATGAATGTCAAGAACGGGGAAAAGATGACATTTGTTGGCATTGTGGATGTTTATAATTTGATGGAAAATTTTTAGGGATGGGGGGTGTTTTCTACATGTTGAACATTGATGTGGCATTCGTATTTATCCTCTCCGTGGAAGAATGTGGAAGAACCATATTTTAATGTAGAATGTCTATATGAGAAAATCGCTTGTCTAGAATCAGTTCAATCATCAATCAAGTCCGCGCAGTGTTGGTTTACGCATTAATTAACATGACAAGAGAGCAACTCAATCGTGTTTTTCCACGGCCTTTCAGGATTTAAGTTCTTAAGTGCCGAATGGTTTATGGTACTTGTTTACTCATGTAGTTTATACACAGCATGGTATTATATGAGTAATTGTGGATTAAACTGCCATGCTATGATATTAAAGATATCTTTAGTGCAAGACATGCCCTTCATACATTTGCTTGTCTAGTTGATGCTTGTGCATATAATCCACCTCATCTTAGTTGTAAGTTGCTTCCCCGAGATGTTGGATACCGGATAAATCTGATCATTGTTTTTTTGGAATGACTTATGTACTCCTGCATAGGAATTTCTACTCTGCCTTCCCGGAGTCCCATTAGACAACCATATAACATGAAAATTGCAAGTACTATTCTTCAGTTCTGCTCAAATCAGAAATAAATCTCTGTAATTTATGTAGAAGTATTTGTTCTATGGATTTGTGTCTGGGGTCTGAAACCTTCAGAAGTTGACTAATTGAATTCCAAACCCACCACCCCCACCCCTTCTCCCCTCCCCCGAGCGCAACCCAAATAAAGAAAAAGAACAAGCTTGTTGCCAGTTTTTTTTTTTTTTTTTTTTTTTGGATGTCTATAGATTATACCAAGGTGTGTTGCCAGTTTTTTTCAAGCATGTTGGGAAAAATATAGTTTGATTAGTATTACTATATCGTGAACTAATAAGCTAGTCAATAAAGTATAAAGGCCCTCGCTGTGATGGGAAACCCATTAGGCTAAGACCGTAACTAAATCGGGTATGTGTTGCAGCTCTGGTTTGCATTTATTTCATGCGTATTAAAGGAAGAATCATGGAGTTAAGATGTGAATGTAATCTTCTGCTGGAATGATGGGTTGAACATTTGAGAAATTAATGTTTTGAGCATGCATAGCATGCTGGGTGCTAGAGTGCATCATGCATATTACTTGTTACACAGGTAACATGTTAATGGTTGAGACTCAACACCATCAGTGCCTCGTTCAGGTGTAGCTTATAGTGGAGAGGCTTAAAAGATAAACATGTAGTAGCAGACTGCATTTTTCTTTGTATGGAAATAAACTCAACAAGAATTTACAGGTTTGAGTCGGTCGTAATATGTTTTAGTGTCATTGGTCTTTTCTACTTTATATTGAGATGATTTTGTTGTAGGAGACATGGCTTCCCTTTGTTCTTATGGGTTTGCTATTGGCAGATGGCAGTGACAGCAATTGCTCGGAGGAGACGGTTACTTGATGACAATATAATTGTTTCCTTGGCTGATGGTTCATGGGAGATCCTTGACATCTCTGGTTCAAATGTTTCTGATGTGGGATTGATTAAATTAGCTGGAATATGCAGGTCTCTTCGAGCTGTGGATATAAGGTACTTAAGTTACATTAGTTATATTAGAGGGTCTCAGAGGCCTCACCTTAAGTCGTATTATTTCCTTATGTGTGCCTCAACACTTCCAAGAAAGGGGATGGAAATTATTGTCTCAATGTTACACATGGGTCCTATCCAGGCTGGGTCAAGTGCTCCACTCCATGTTCCTGACTTCTTTTTTCTTTTTTCGCTAAACTTGTTTGTCATGTAATACCTTGGGTATGCCAAGGATTTGTAGTTGGTTCCTTAAAGCATTATGCAACAAATCATGAACCCGTGAATGCCTTGTGTTTGGCAAATGAAAGGAATGCCACTTTGCCTTGTCTTTCCACCTGAGCCCTGCCAACCTTAATCTTTTCTTTCTAAAGGATTAAAGGGATGACCTTTTAAGAAGGAAGTTCTTCGAGAGATGACTGTGAACTGACAAGAGTTCAAGTATGTATGATGTCGATCTTTTGCATGGAAAATTAAAAAGAGTAAATACAGGACAACGGTTCTTAAGCCCTCTACCTCCATTTAGGCCCGGGGCTAGGGTGAGCTGAGGGGGGACAGCGTAAGTGAGATAATGTGTGTAAGCCCACTTTTCTAGAAGTCAAGAGGGAATTTCTTTTTGCATATGCTTTCATATGATAAGTCGAATAGATGCATGAAATGGAGGACCTCTGTATTCTGTCAGCGTAATGATTTCATAGCTGTGGTTCTTCTTTCTGTTTAAGCAAATCTACCAAGTTATATGCTGACAATCAGTTAGGCTTTCTTTCTTTCTTTTTTTTATTTTGTTGCATGTGAAATTTTAAGAACAATGTTGTGCCTCCATTGTGCTCTAGGTAGGCTTGGTTGTGGGGATATAATTAGTCTTCTCTAGGTTATTTTACCTCTGAAATTTATGGGTTTTTTTGGTTTTTTATTTTCTTTGGAAGAACTTGCATGTTAGACTAGGTATTATCTCATGCTGACAAGGTTTTAAATGATTTACTATCATAATGAGATGATTTGTTTTTGTGCAGTCGGTGTGAAAATATCACTGTGGCTGGTGTTTCTGGACTTTTGCAGCGCTGTCATTTGCTAGAAACTTTGAGATGTGGGTATGGACTCTGTCTATGTCAACATTGATGATTTTCACTGTCAATGATTTTATATGCCATTGTTGTCCTTCTATTTACTTTACACTCTTATAATGATTAGCATATGTCATTACACGGTATAGTTAACTTCATATTGGGCAAAGCCTCTTGATACTCCAAATATCCAAGCATGTGTGAAGCCTTTTTTTTTTTTTAAATTTAGAAGATCATTTACTTCTGATACATCTAAATTATCACCTTAAGCTAAATCCTCATCGCTCCTAATCATGTCGCATTAGAATGATCCTTGTATATTATGGAAGAACCTTAAGTTTGTATCTTGGTCTACAGCTAATCAGCATACTGTATTCAGGGCAGGGGTGAAAAACATTGAGCGCATTTATCGGTCGAAGTTTTGAATGATAAGCGCACTTGTTGCGCTTCTCCATATATGGAACTATAATTGGAGATTGAGATCAGTTGCTTCCTACTTGCATGTCAACTGGCATACGCAAGAGGACAAATCTGATTTTTTTGTTAAATACATGGATTGAGGGGAGAGAGGAAGAGAGTTTGTGCAAACAATTAGTTGAGAGTTTCTACTAAAGAACTTTCTTGAGCGACATTTTCAGTCTTACCCTTCATTTGGCACCTCAATTTTTATGATTAGAATGTTGTAGAAGTTGGTTGTCCTTGATTTTATTAGCAGAGGTTTTCACCAGCCATGGCATGGTATACTGCTTTTACTGCTTTAAGATGGTGCTTACTTAGCTTCAACTTCTGCCTTGATGGTTTCCACATAAATAGTGTGACTTTTAGAGCCCAGTTTCTTGGGTTTGACAAGGGGTATAAAACTCCTAACAGGAAGTGAACCGAAGTTGATTTGCAGAGGGTGCCCAAGAAGTGACTACACGGCACGTTGTTGTTTGGGCATATTGAAACCAAAGCTGCATGATGTGGATGGCGATTCGTGGGAGGAACTTGACGCCTCAGAAATCATAGATGGTGCACATTCGTTGCGTTGGCTTGTGTGGGTAAGAATTTACTCTTTGTAGTTAATTATTGAGTTTTTTCATCTTGGCCGTTTTCATCTGCTTCACAAAGGCAGGAAGGTTAACTCCGGACCGATGTTTTGGATCTTTGCATTGTTGATATGTTTAGCCATTTTGTTCTTGACCATTTCAAAATCATGATAAGAATACGAAGTCCCTTCTCCTATTTTCGGTCTTACTTTATGAATCTTCCTAGACAAACAACTTAGCTTCTGCCTTCTGATTTTCATTTCTGCAGCCAAGGATCGATAAAAATACTCTGGAGAATTTCTCCGCTGAATGCCCGCGCATCACAGTAAATGCCAAGCCGTCACCTTTCACTCTAAGAGGGGCCCAAGTTCCGAGACAAGCATGGCCAGATGTCGTATTGGATGAACCCTTTGTTAAGGATATTGATCCCGAGACATGGGCTGTGTCTGGATTTAGACCCAGGAAGATTTCCGCACCTCTCTCTAGCCCAACATCTGAATTGTCGATGGCTGAAAAGTTTAGGCTTGCATTTCTTGAAAGAGACAATCGGTTAGCCCCGAAACGTGCGAAGAATGTGAGGCAACATCAACGGCGTGCGGAAAAAGAGTTTAGGGCAATGGATTCAAGGGCAAAGGCCCTTGATCTGGCCTCAAAATTGAGCAAATCGCTGCATAATAGGTACTAGTGTCCCCGGATAATCAGGGGCAACACCGCGGAGAGAGCTTTTGTTGTCTGACCGTGCTGTTTTTCGGTGCGTGTGTTTTATAATGTCTGCGGCACATGGCTTTGTTTTGATGAGGTTCAGCTGGCGGGCGTTAGCATTCTTGTGAGCTTAGCTTTTGGGCTGTCATAAATTTGTAATTATTAGATCTGGATTATAATCTGTGTATGACGTGGTGATGAGAGGAACCGAGAGACGTTTCATAGCGTTAGAAGTGCCCGATTGAGGGGCACAGGGCCGGGCTTGAGCGGGGGCAGGCCCATTTTAGGTCTGTAAATTGTTCTTTCTGCATCTAAATCCTGTAGTAGTACACTCCTCAAGCCCGTAATACCAGTCCCAATGGCGAATTGGCTGAAATAAAAAGGAAATGATAATAATAATAAGGGGTAAGTGGGTTATCAAGTTGGATTGGACGGAGAGTTTGCTTCTTGATTAGTGAACCTGGGTCGCGTATAACGTAAAATAACATTACGTCGAGACCTATAAGCTTCAAATATTCAATTGAAGTGGATAGGCTCGAAGTCTAGTTTGACACATTTAGACTGTTTGGTTCAGCTTTGGGGGAATGTCTTTGAGGAAATGCAAGGACCTTTAGGCTAAAGGGGTTTTTTGAAATGCAAATAGTATTTGGTAAAGTGTATTTTAAAAACACATTGAGAAGTAATTTTAACCTAATTGTCGTTTGGTAAAAATTACACTTTGTAAAGGATTTTTGCTAAATTTATATTTTAAAAAATTTCAAAATATTTGCTTGCGGGACTGCCGCCAACAAGCCAAATTGATCGCCATCCAACTTTGCCTGAAGTCACTAGACCCCAGGTGATTGCTACCTGAGGTCGTGAGGGTTGCAGTGGTTTGCAGGTTGCTTGTTGATAGCTGAGGCCTTTGCCGACAAGTTAGGATTGTCGAGAACATTTTCGGAATTATGAAAGTTGAGCGAGGGCAAAGTTGGAAGAAAAAAAGTTTATTTGCATTTTGAGGATGCTACTTTACAAGCTTTTAAAAATGCAATTGCATTTCCCTAAAGTTCTCCAAATAACGAACCAAACACTATTTGCATTCAGCAAAGGGGGCCCTAAAACCCCTTGCAAATGCTGAACCAAACAAGCCTTTACTGGTCCCAAATGGGTAAGTTGGGGCCGAACTTTAGGCCTGTTGAGTCTAGAGATATGGACCAATTTTGGGCCAGACATCGAGCCTTGATAATGGGCCAAGTTTGTGCCGGGGGCTTAGATAGTGGGCAAAGGTTGGGCTGGACATTGGGTCTATTGGGCATAGATAATGGGCCAAGTCATGGGCCTAGATAATGGCCAACATTGGGCTGAGTTAGCAGGGCTTCCTTTGGGCCTAAATATTGGCCCATCTTGGGCCTTTGTGGACCAACATGATGGGCCTACAGGGCCCCATACTTTTGGGCAGTGGCCGACTTAATGGGCCGGACATTGGACATTGGACAAGATAATGGGCCGATGCAGGACATGTTGGACCAATACAACAGATTGTGACGAGCCCACTTTTACTAGGCTTTGTGGGCCCATAATTTCTGGGCTTCACGTAATGTGCCCAGTGGGCCAGCCAAGATGGGTCTTATGGGCTTAGACAGATGGGCCAAAATAGACCCATTCGTTTTATTTTTTCGTGTAAGCAGTCTTGTTCGGTTTTTGCTCTCCAAATAATACGATGATTCATTAATTAAAAAATTTAAACCTCGTCGTGGTCCCAAGTAGAATTTCGACTTTGATTTTGCCAAAAAAATAATCACTAAAAACCTTAAATTATAACACATTTATCTGAACATTTTTTGTTACGCCGAGAAAATATTGGGTGGTCCCGGACCATCAAGTCAGTTATAATCCCTTCCAATAGTTCGGCGCCATAAATGTGAACATTTTTTGTCACGCCAAGAAAATATTGAGCGGTCCCGGACCATCAAGTCAGTTATAGTCCATTCCAATAGTTCGGCGCTCTGACCAAAAAAAAAAAAAGTTCGGCGCCACGTGTTCGAGAGGCCCACACCTAGACTTTTCAGAACTCCCTTTCTCAATCACACGCTCCTTTCCGTAAATACCCCCGACTTCATCTTCCTCCCCTTGACAGAGCAAGTGATCGCGCTCTAGGGGTCATAACAAAATATCTTTGAAGTTAGGGGTGTTTGTGGAGTTTTGAAGCTTGGTTGTCAGAAGGGTATGGCGTGTCTGTCAAGGGGAGGAAGATGAAGTTGGGGGTATCGCGCCCTTTGGAGATGAAGTTACGGAAAGGAGTGTGTGACTGAGAAAGGAGAAAATATTCAGTGGTTAGCTCGCACCAGGTCATCCGCCTACGTGGCGTGCGTGAGCTTAGTTGGCTCCACTCAACGGGAGACACGTGGCGCTGAGTTGGACTTGCTGAAAAAAGGCTTTCTTTTCTCTACGTGGGGGCAGAGCTGAAAAATTCAGCTCCCGCCTAAAACTTCCCCCCCCTCTCTCTCCTCTTTTCAATTTCCAAGGCCCTTCTTTACCTGCACTCCTGCGGAAGAACAGCCAAAACACACACACTCTCTCTCTTTCTCTACCGCCTCCGCCTTCGCCTCCGTCTCCGCCTCCGCCTCTCCCAAGAGCCCCGCCGGTCGCTCCGAGCTCAGATCTGCGCCCAAGAGGGAGAGCCCCGCGTCGCTGCAAGCTCGGATCTGCGCATCCGGCACGTCGCCTCCCTCAAGAGTCCCTCCGTCTCGAGCTGCTGGATCCGAGCCCCTCGCCTCCGCCGAGCTCGGATCTGCGCTCAAGAGGGAGAGCCCGCGTCGCTCCGAGGCTCGGATCTGCGCTGGCACGTCGCCTCCCCCAAGTGCCCCTCCGTCGCAGTGCTTTGGACTCAGAGCCCCTCAGCCTCCAGCCAGAGCTCGGTCTGCGCCCAAGAGGGAGAGCCGCGTCGCTCAGGAGCTCGGATCTGCGTCGGCACGTCGCCTCCCCCAAGAGCCCCTCCGTCGCGGTGCCTTGGATCATTGTGCCGTCTCAGGCTTTTTGTATTGTGTCTGGATAAGTTCATTGCAGGGGATGGAAGGCTTTGGTGGAAGATTTTTGCCGCGGCACAGAGGATGTTGCTGGTTTTAATTTACTGCACAAACATTCTTGTTCTTTATCTTGAGTCCCCCATATCGCCGCACAACGCCATTTCTACTACTCCCCCCTCTGCAGAAACCAAACCGTAGTCAGTCAGTCAGTCAAATGAAGAACACCCACAAACAGGAAACGAACGAAGCGCGCAAAACCGCGCAACAAAACCACCGTCCGAGAACGAATTCGTCGAACATCGAAGGAGCTAAAAGACACGAACCTGGTCGGATTCGATCGATTCGTGTGAAGTGTGTGTGTTCGTGAGTGATTTCGTTGCTTCTCCTTCACGCTTTGCGTCAAGAAACCATTTGACGGTCTTGCTCAAGCACACAGTAAAGAAAACTCAGCATATGGGGGACTCAAGATAAAGAACAAGAATGTTTGTGCAGTAAATTAAAACCAACAACATCCTCTCGTGCCGCGGCAAAATCTTCCACCAAAGCCTTCCATCCCCCGCAATGAACTTATCCGACACAATACAAAAAGTCGGAGACGGCACAACATATCTGCAGCGCGGCCGCTGACGGAGGGGCTCTTGGGGAGGCGACGTGCCGACGTAGATCCGAGCTCGGAGCGACGCGGGCTCTCCCTCTTGGGCGCAGACCGAGCTCGCGCAGAGGCGGAGGGGCTCGAGTCCGCGGCCGCGACGGAGGAGCACTTGGGGAGGCGACGTGCCAGGCGCAGATTTGAGCTCGGAGCGACGCGGGCTCTCCCTCTTGAGCGCAGATCCGAGCTCCGGCGGAGGCGGAGGGGCTCGGGATCCAGCAGCCCTAGACGGAGGGGCTCTTGGGGGAGGCGACGTGCCGGATGCAGATCCGAGCTCGCAATGACGCGGGCTCTCCCTCTTGGGCGCAGATCTCGAGCTCGGAGCGACCGGCGGGGCTCTTGGGAGAGGCGGAGGCGGAGGCGAAGGCGGAGGCGGTAGAGAAAGAGAGAGAGAGTGTGTGTTTTGGCTGTTCTTCCGCACGAGTACAGGTAAAGAAGGGCCTTCGAAATTGAAAAGAGGAGAGAGAGAGGGGGGGTAAGTTTTAGGCGGGAGCTGAATTTTTCAGCTCTGTCCCCACGTAGAGAAAAGAAAGCCTTTTTTCAATTTTTCAGCAAGTCCAACTCAGCGCCACGTGTCTCCCGTTGAGTGCAGCCAACTAAGCTCACGCACGCCACGTAGGCGGATGACCTGGTGCGAGGTAACCACTGAATATTTTCTCCTGAGAAAGGGAGTTTTGAAATGTCTGAGACGTGGCCCCACTACCGTGACACGTGGCGCTACTGTTTGAGGGGACTATAAATGACGTGAAGGTTTTTTTTTTTGGGGTCAAAAGATGACGTGAAGGTTCGGGACATAATTTACCGACAAGGTGGCTTTTGCCGACAAGATAGGCCTTTGCCGACAAGAATCTATGAAGGTTGGGGACCACCCAATATTTTCACAGCTTAGGTTCCGTTAAAAATGTGACATATCAATAAAAGATTACAAATTCTGACCAAAAACAAAAAATTAAAAATTAAAAAGAAAATTAGAAGCTAAAAAAGAAAAAAAAACCGAATTTACTATTCATCATCTTTAACCTCATGATCACCCGGCCAAAAGCTTCTCCGGCGGTCGTCCGTAGCTGTCCACTGCCGCCTAAACCTCCCCGCGGCATTCGTCGGCCCTTGATTGACCACCCACCAGATCTGGCCATCGCGGCCACGAGCTTCGAGGTTTGATCTGGCTTTGAAGCTCGAAGCTTGGCCTAAGGGTTTGTGAATTTGGTCTGCTTCGCGAGGGAACGGGTAAGCCCTACGCTTCGGCTCCACGAGGGGCGGGACCGTGGCAGCGGCAGAGGTGGCGGTGGCGGTGGCGGTGGTGGTGACGCGCTCGCAGGAGGGGCACATGGTAAGGGTGGTGGCAGGGAGCTGCATGTAGAAGGGCTAGGAGTTCTTGAGTGCCCGAAGCTCCTGGAGCCGCCGGTTCTCTTCCGTCAGCGTCTAGCAGCACCACTTCGGGTACTCGCAATCTGCTTCAACTTCGTCCTCGCTCTTCTGTTCTGGAACCACACCACCATTTGGCGAGGAAGCAGATTCAACTGTTTTGCCAAATAAAAAACCAAACCCATCAACAAAATCAACAATAATACCTCATTTCATGCTGATATCGTCATAGATTCTTTTTGGCATGCAAATACAGAAACCCTAAACCAAATCCAGATCGACTAATTCTTGATTGAAAACAATCTGCGCGGACGAAAATTCCCAAAAACAAAGGGCTGAAAGAACACATACCCAGAAAACTCAATTCGGAGAAAAGAGGGACGATTCGCAACAACAGTCAAATTTAAGCAAGAAAGTACTTGGAAATGAGAAGAGCCTCAAATCACCCCACAGCAGAGCAATGAACTAATGCGATTCGACACCCACCGTACGCGTAAACCGACAAAAGTCACATACCCTCAGGCCAAGCTTGGAGCTTCGAGCGGTCATGGTGGCCGCGGGCTTCGAACCCAGATGGCACCTCGAAGCTTAGGGCCTCCATGACCAGATCTGGATGTGGTCAAGCAAGGTTGAAGACGATGAACAGTGATTTCCTTTTTATTATTTTCGAATTTTTTCCTTGGCATCGTATCAGAGCTACGGCAAATCTGGGTCACAGAGATATAAGTTTAAGATTATTTATGCCACCAAATAAAATTGAGATAAATATGTAGTAATAACCATAATTTGAGAATTTTAGTAATTTTTTCGCTTTATCCTATGATGGATTTTTATTGCTCTTGTTACAGTTTTGATACTTTCTCCGAATGCTTCACAACTTAATCCCGCACGCTCTTCCCCCAAATTTTTCACCAAACCAAATTATTATGTACAAGAAAACCAAAGGATTCTTTAGCCCTCTATTATTCCCAAATTTCTCCAAGAAGTTTGTTGTTGAATAATGCAAATCAAACTGTGAATTGGGTGGCGAAGGCCTATCGAACCGATTCCCTTGATTAACCCCGTTTCCTTTGGTCACTGTTATGTTATGATTTTGGAAACTCTCATGCTTCAAGTTCTGCTTTTTAATGAAAGTAATGCTTCTATCAACCAAAAAATAAAATAAAATTAGGCTTCGTATGAGGAACGGTAGAATTCTACCATTATCAAAATATGCCATACCAGCCACATAGCTACGATGTATTCTCTCAAAACTTTTGGCGATCACTGCTTTCACCCCCTGATGAAGCCCATCATGCTTAGTGACACTAAACCCGAACGAAAAGGGAATGCTAGGCAAATTGAACATGTTGAGTTGAATCAAACGTGAACTCGGACCCTTGGCAGCCCAATCTCGAGAGCTGCCACTTCCATACTCGGCTCCTACAAGGATAATTGTGTCTTGCGCAGCGACCTTGTACCTCTGCAAGAATCAAGCAACGATTCTCAAGACTTGTCATCCAATGATCAATATTCTACACTGTTTCTGATTTTTAAGGGCAAGAAAAATGCAGTGAAAAATTCTAATGTAGGAATATGCAGGATAAGTATCATCTCTTGAATCCGAGTAAGTCCTTAAAAGGCTTTATTTTTTAAGGTCTCTCCAGTAAACTTTTGGGGATGTAAAACTCCTAAGGATATTCCCTTCTCGTGGGAAAGAAAAATATCCATGGAAAATTTAAGGACCGAACGTGTAAGTACTAACAAGTTAAAATAAAAAATGCAGTTTTATTACCCTGTTATGTGTATAAAATTGGATAGACAGAGCGGTCCCAATTGAAATTTCAACTCCAATTCTGTGGCGAGAAAAACCTTTTTTTAATTTTTTGGCTAGAAGGCGAGGAAAACCTTAAATGCCAAGGAATCACGGAAGGCCATGGATAGGGACCTACAATCCCCAATTTACGTATAATTCAATCGGACTTTGGGAATTTCGACCCAAAAAAAAAATCACACTTTTGGAATTGATAAAAAAAATCAGACTTTTGATTGGAAAAATTTAAGTATCAATAATACTAAAGGGGGAAAGGAAAATGAGTCCTATACGCTATCGGGCAAAAATTAAACTTTTTCAACCTACACCTAACCATCACTGTCCCAGACAGTAATAGGTCAGGTTGTCCAATTAGTGGCTTTCCCCCGTATCATATCGTGACAAAGCACGATGATTTGACAGGAAACAAAGCTTTGTCTTGTTTGCTTTGTTCTTTTAGACTGTGTTTGCTTCTTCTTGCTCAGCAAGAAACCCTTCTGCCCTCAAGAGAGCTTGCTCAAGCTCAAGCTCTCTGTTTGCAGGCACCGCAAGGAATTAATAGGTGCTCTCTTTTGTGTTGTTTTCTCGCCCTTGACTGATCAGTTTTTTCTGCATCAATCAATGGAGCGCCTCATCTCCCATAAGCCCATGTCCCTTCTAAGATCCATTCCTTCCCTTCTAAGATATCGAGGAGGGACCACGGAAAATGAGTATATCACCGCTTTGAATTTAGCTTCATTCCTGATGGAGGGGAATACATTTCCATTTCCATTCCAGATGGACTGGATTTCATTTCCATTCCAGATCGAGGAGGGACCATGGAAGCTGAAAATCTCACCCCCTTGACTTTCATTTCCATTCTAAGCATAGATGGAGGAGGGATTAGGGGAATAATTGCGGCAGCCATCCTCAGTTTCTTGGAATTTGAACTTCAGGTAATTCGAAAATTACTTTTAAATAAATTCTCTATTTTTCATGGAGATTTATGTTTCAGATTCATGATGTTAAGATTTGATTACTTTTAATACTACCTGTGCAGAAACTAGATGGTCCAAAGGCAAGAATCGCCTACTACTTCGACACGATCGCCGGAACAAGCACCGGTGGTCTGATTACGGTGATGCTCACTTGCCCGGACGAAAACGGTCGCCCTTTATTCGCCGCAAAAGAGATTCTGGAGTTTTATTTGAAAGAAAGCCCTAAAATTTTCCCGTCAAGTATTTTTCTTTTTTCTTGACTATTCCATGTGAAACGTATAGTAGAGATATTATGTTGATTTTAGGGATAGATACATTGAGAGCCACGGTGATGTAATTCGTCACCTAGTTTTACATTAGTATCATATAGTAATTATGTTGAATTTTAGGTACCTTATTATGAGAATGCAATTAAAATTTGAAAGCTTTACAACTAAGAGATCTTTTTAATCAACACAGAAGACGTATTTGGGGGCTGCGTCATTTAGCGACGGCCATTAGGTGTTTTCGAGGTCCAAAATATGATGGGGAGCACCTGCGCAGTGTTATAAGGAAATTATTGGGGGAAAAGAGATTGCACGATACATTGACTAATGTCGTGATTGTGGCTTATGACACTTTGTCGAATGACTTAATCATATTCTCGAGCCATGAGGTATTCTTCTTCCAATATTTTCAAATCATGACAATTAGTTTTTTCCATATCTAACTTGGATTGTTGAGTCCTTGTTTTGTTAGATAAAGAAATCACCTAGTCGAGATGCCCTCCTTTCTGACATATGCATTGGGACTTCGGCGGCCCCAGGTTACCTCCCCTCTCACTATTTCGAGACAATCGACCATTTGGGAAATATCACGAAATTTAATCTCGTAGATGGTACCATTGCTGCAAATAATCCGGTGCGTCTATATTATCAAGTGATTGCCTTTCTTAATTTAATACGGTGCTTTTAGCTCTTAAGATTTATTCCTTGAGATTGACAATTGTTTCATTGCTTGAAGATTTTGCTCGCAATAAGGGAAACAGTGAGGGAAGTGACAGGTGGGACTAACAATTTGGCTGAAGCGAGAAAGCACGGCCAGTTTCTGCTATTATCGATTGGAACAGGGACCAAAAGGGAAGACGGTTACCACGCAAGCGAAACCAGAAGGTGGGGCTTTTTTGATTGGCTCTACAAAAGAGGGTATTGTCCAATTGTGAATATGTTCGATAGAGGAAGCAAGGTCATGGTCGAGCAGAACCTTCCCACGGCCATCGAGACTCTTCATGCCAAAGATCATTATTTTCGGATTCAGGTTAAATTTTTTGGCTCAAGCATTTACTAAAGTTATGCTCCTTAGATTGCAAAGGCCAAATAGCTGACTTTTTTATTTAAGTTTTTTGAGTGCTCTTTGGATGAGTGTGAAAGTGATTATATGTGCGTAGGATGACACTTTGTGTGGGGATTTATCTTCCATGGACAAAGCCACTAGGAAGAATTTGGATGATCTGGTGAAATTCAGTGATGAATTGCTGGTTAAACCGGTTTCTAAAAGAAATCCAAATACTGGCGTTTTGGAGCCTTGTTCTAGAGAGACCAATGCTGAGGCTCTCATAAGGTAAATTTACTTCTTTGTTTTGTTTATGATATTTTGACCCTTTGGTTTGTCCTCTAATTGCGATTATTTCGATTAATCAACAATCACGCCTTCTTGTTGTAGGTTGGCTAAACTGCTTTCCGAGGGAAGGAAACGTAGACCGGCACCAATACGCGATTAATGTTATTTTGAGGTCTTGACTTGAAGTTAATGTCGTGTATTGTGCTTAGGGGTGAGCATAGTTCCAGATTCTATCTGGAACTTGAGAATCGGATAAGTGAGAACGTGTCGGTTTTAGGTTTTAGGGTATGCAAGGTAGGTTTCAGGTTCAAAAAATTGGGGAAATATGTTTCGACGGTTAGGTTCCGTGTTCTAGGTAGGTGAAACATGGAACCCGAAATAAGTTTTTGTATTTTTCTTGGTCTATGTCTTCGCGCGATCCTGCAGTATTCCATGGCATTCGATAATAAGTTTATAATCTGGAACCATTAGTCTGAGCTTCTATTTTATGACCGAGACTTTTACTTTGTTAATGTTTCTTATTGTTCGTGTGTCTAAATATAAGTTGTGTTCAGTGGATTGTAACAATAAGTGGTGGTCATTAAAAGCGACGATTCACTGCAATCGTTTAATTAATAATACAAGTAGAATCTAGGTAGATCTTGGAACCGACCATAAAACCTGTGACATGGTAGGTTTTGGGTTTTAAGATGTGTAGGGTAGGTTCCACGTTTCGAAAAATACGAAACATGTTCCCATGGGTAGGTTTCGGGTTTCAAGTGCAACCATTACATAACCTGAAACTGCTTAACCCTAGTTGTGCTCTCTTAGCTAATCGATTCCAACATTTATCATCTTTCTCACACAAATTCATCCAGATAATTTATCTTATGCAAGAACGTTTTCTCTTCATTTGGACGACAAAAAACTATTAGAATGGGACTTCACCGTAATTTGTCATTACAAAACATTTTCTCAATAGCTTCATTTATATAAAAAAAAAACCCCCATAAGGATGACATCACTAATTTCGTTAATTTAATCGATTTCGTTCCGCTAACAACATTTGAAAAATGTTATCAGCATAAACTTTGCCGGTGCATAACGTGTAATGTATTGAAATAGATACAATAAATTTCTTTTACACCAGTGAAGAGCCCGGACTTTGCCTTGGGTCATCATAAAAATGAAATAAACATTAATGGATAGTATTTTAATCAAAATATGAATCGATTTTTAGAAAATAATAATTCAAATAGATAATACTATGAGAACAATGATGAGTCAACCCAAAATTTCACAAAAAAAATTCTAAGAGAAAACCCACTTTTCTTGTTAGGAAAAATTATCAAAAAAATCATAAACCTACTGTACTTACGTCAATTTAGTTCTAAACCTTTTAATTGTGTTGATTGAGTCCTAAACTTTTGGATGATTTGTCAATATAGTCTACTCGGCCAATTTTAGCAGGAAGTCACTAACGTAGACGCCGATCATCCTATGTGGCACGACGGTGCCGACGTTGACAATTTTTAATATTTAAAAAGAAAGAAAGAAAAGAATAGAAAATAAGAAAAAGGAAAAATAATTTAAAATTCAGAAAAATTTAAGAAATTATCAACGTCAGCGTCGGCCATGCTACATATGACAACAACGTCCACGTCAACGATTTTTGGCTAAAATTGACTAGATGAACTAAATTAACAAATCGTTAAAAGGTTTAGAATTTAATTGACACAAATTCAATAGGTTTATGATTTTTTTAATAATTTTTAAATTCGTGTGTATTAATATATATAGCTATTGCCCCCATGACAATCGGACTTTTTGAGCCTGGGAAGCTGGGAGGAAATGCGGGCGCCGTCTTAGGATAAAGATGTGCTTATCTTCTTTTCTAACGAATAGGGTTTAGCAAAGCAAGAAAATAAAACAAAACATGAATAAAAAGATGAAGAAGCTTCTCATCAGGACGTGTTTATCTGCTTTCTTTTACTGTTCTTGTTTGGGAGTAAGACGAAATCTTCTCTTAAGATCATAACAGTTTTTTAAACAAGTATCGAATGGGATCATCTTATTATCCTTCCTTTTCTGTTGGGATTCATTACAGTACTTCAATCTCATAGATTTTTTTGGGGGCACTGATATTATTGATCTAATCGCAAGCAAATTGTAATAAAGTCCAACGCAAAAATTTAAGTTTATGGATGGAGAGATACGCGAAACTACATATGGAATTTGACAAATGGAGAGCAGCACAAACGAAATGTACGGCGTAAAACTTGATTTTGATACTATGTTTGAATGTTCAACTTAAAAGGTGGAGGGAGACCATGCATATAAAGAATATATAAACTCTACAAAGATTATAATTTACCACAAATTATCAATCTTTTGGAAAACATGTAGCATGAGATATCTTTTTTTTTTCTTTTTTCAATAGGATCTAATAAATGGCTTATCATTTAAGTCGATATTTTTCTGCATACGATAGAGGAATTTGTCAAAGCAGATAAAGAAAAGGTAAAATCACATGTTCATCCGAATTCTTGGTGGAAGGTGCATGCATCATCATATCGTTTTTCTTTTCATGTCGGGTTTAATTAATGCAGCTTTTTCATGTGAACGGGGGCTGCCAAGTTGGAGCCACCATAACCCAAGAAACAAATTCCATGGTCAAGCATCTTATTCTAATGTAACATATCTCACACACACATTCAAATCACAGCATCTTTGATTTTTAGAGACGGAAACTCCATCCAAACCCGTGTAGACGGAGCGTTTACTTTACGAATATTCATGGGATTTTGTTAAGAATGGTATGGATATCCCGCGTTATCGACAAAATAAAATACAAGAAAATGGAAAAGGAGTTGAGCATTAGGTGGCAAGTTCAAAATCCCTCAATAATGGAGAGCACCAGTCACTACGAGCGTGATGAGCTCGTAAAGTAGGTATCACAGTATTCCGGTTTCTTAATATATTGTAAAAAGTACTTGCAGCACTTGTCTTAGTATGATGTGGAAAGTTATCTTCATTTAGGCAATGGGAAGTCTGTTAGAAGCAATCTGACGAAACTATGAGAGGCCATTTACGTCAATAGATTTTCTGTTTTCCATGACAAAAAAAAATCTTTACATGAAAACACCTTTTGGATGATTACAATAAATTCAAAAACAAAAATCAACATAACTGTTTTTTTTTAAAGTAAATTTTTTTTCCTTTCCGTAACAAGAAGTGAGATTCTATCTATCTCTAATTTAAATTTTTGGATGAAAATTTTAGCACAAAGACAAGTGCAGATTTTTACTATCTAATTCATAGCAGGTATTTTCTTCTTCTCTTGTCGTTGTGTTGCTATGAATTGTGATCCCTTTTAATATGGTCTTTGAATTTTTAATTTGCTCGATATGATCCCTAAACTTTTAATACATGTTAAATTTAGGGACTACATTGAACATTTTTATATAATTCAGGGATTAAATTGAACATGTACCAAAGGTCAAGAGATTACATTGAATAAATTAAAAGTTTAGGGACCACATTAAATATTAATTTAAAATTTAGAGATTATATTAAATAAATTAAAAATTCAGGAATTAAATCACATATTAAATTAAAGTTTAAGAATCATTTGTATTATTTTTTCTTTATTAAAAAAGCAAGTGGCAGGATTTAGAAGTAATCATGTCGACATAAGGATCATAGCAAAAAGATCCGCTTTGTTTTTCTCTGGAAAGCAGGAGGTGCCCAGTCACTCTCATTGAATAGTCAGTGCAGACTTTTTTGAACACTGACATTTATTGAAAAAGCTAGGGTGTCAATGGGTCGGGTCGGGTCGGGTTTCTATGATACCCGACCCAAATCACAAGGGGCACATGCTCTTTCTGATCTGGCTCGGCCCAAAACCCATAGAACCCAAAGCGAAAATCCGGGTCGGGCCGGGTTTTCGATTTTTTTTTTTTTTGCGTGGATAAACGTATAAACCAGTACAAAGTGGGTGTGAACCCCGAATAGCCATAGTAAAAATTGCAAGCTGCTTATAATCTCTGTCAAGTTGGCTGTATAAAGTAAAAATTGATTCTGTTATCCAAAAAGTGGTTTACAATTGAGCCTGTCAACGTGTCACAAACAAAGACCTAAGACCAAATAGAGACATATGCTGAGAAACCAAATCTATTACATGCAATCTTAGTTTCGCAGGAAAAGAACACCTATGCGATATCCCCTATTTAGTATTTCTGAGGCGGTTGTTGGGTCGGCAACAATCCAAATCGCTTCTTTAGAAGAACTCTTTGCCTTGAGTATTTGTCATTAGGCGAGAAGCGAGCTGCAGAAAGAACATGATCAAAACATAAATAAATAAACAAAAACACCCTATGCTGTAGAAACCTTATTAGAGATATTCTGCAGCAAACAATTAGCTGCAATATGTGAGGCATGATTCAAATTATATAGACTAAGAACACCAGGTGGTTGAAACATATATGTTTCATCTCCACTGAACTGCAGCTCCATTGGAGGAAGGAAGCGCAGGATAGTTAAGAGCGACATTTGATCTAAGTCCATTAGCATTCAAAGCTAATCATTGCCATTAGACTTTTTAGCTTTGCCAAGATGGACTATGAAGACAGGATTCAACAGAGCCCACACACGAGAAGAATGTATGGATAGATAACAAATGGAAATCCAACTATTCCCACAAGGGCAATAAAATGTTCTTTAACAGTGGTAGAGAAAGAAGATAACTTAAAAAACTGTAACAGCCTTACATTCTATCAAAAACCATCTCGGTCCAGTGCAATAATCCCACCAGGACCAACAAATATAACAACCAAATACCTAACTCAAGAAAAGCAAATAAAACATCAAATGAGGTGAGGTCTTACCTGGATGAGCAGATTGTGTAGCGAGACCCAAGGGAGTTTCTTTCTGCATACAATCAAACAGCCATTTCAGAACATGGATTGGCAAAATAGTTCAAAGAGTATATGATAAACTGTACAAGCAGAAGATTTCATTTTTAACAAGTACCAATCTCCAACTTCATCAATCGTCTAGAGAAACCGAGTTTGGCTCCATGGTTGTAGTTGGCAACTCTGCATTAAATTTATGATGAAAATGAGAATTAATGTATCCATCAAAGTATAAAAGGGTACAAAATTCCACAACCATATTTTTTTACCTGACTCAAAGATTTCAAGTTCTTCTAAGTCCTCCTCAATCGAACGTGAAAGTGGCTTAGATCGTAACCAATCTTGAGCACATATAAGAGCCTCCACCATGCTTGGGGTCAAAGAGCTACGGAATACATCAAGCACACGACCTCCTGTGCTGACTGCGGCCTCTGATGCTACAGTCGAGACGGGCACAGCCAAGATGTCTCGAGCAATGGAAGAAAGGATATGATATCTTGAAGAATTTACTTTCCACCAACTTAAGATATCAAAGTTTGGGTTATAACGTTCACATCCTTCCTCCAAATATTTGTCCAATTCTGATTTTTCTTCCAAATATTGTTGTCCAGTTTGGCTAAGATACTTTGCAGTCATAAAATCAGCACCAACCACAGGAGACTTTGATATGCTTATCGTCCCTGTGCTCTTTAGCCTCAAGTTGCTTTGGGGGCACACACCAGTGCGATATTGCTCGAACAATGACGTCAGAGATGTTTTTACTTTATCTCGTAAAGTTTCCGCCTCCTTCCTTTCATAAACATCATTAATCATCCACTTCACATATTCCCACTTATGTCGCGGGTCAAGTATGCAAGCAATGAACAAAGTAAGATTGATGTTGTTCACATTGCCAAAATATTTATTGAATTTGGTTTTCATTCTCTTAGCCATTTCCTGCACACTTTGATCCTCATTCTCACAATATGCATCAATGATTCCATGAATCCCATACACATCCTTCGCCATATCATTACTGGTGACATAAGAAGAACCCGAAACTTTTAAACTTGATGCATAAGTGAACCAAGATTAAGATTCAAACTGACGGACCACAATCAACACAAGGCGCATAATGCAAATAATCGCAGCCACACCATGGAGCAGCAAAGAAACATATAAAGCTATGTTGCACTCCAAACAACATTTCAGCAAAAAAAGAATGACCACAGCAGACCCATAATACTCCTTCACCACATATTAAACTTTACTGATGATTGCTAAAATTTTGCAAAAAAATGAGAGATTGCAAGCCGATCATTTCACATTGTGCAAAATTCATGTGTATGTAATTGCAGCAAGGACAGATCATATATACCAGCAGATACCAACCAAGACAACTGAGAAATGGCATCTAGATCCTAAGTTCCATAACCCAACAAAGGCAAAGAAATATGGCAACAGCTACTTTGACTAAAAACATGCTGTGAAAAATAGAGTGCCTAAATTTCATCAGATCCCACCAGAGCACTGTCGATTCACGAAGATGAAGCCAAAACAATGATGAGCCATTTTGCTAGAAAAGCTCAATATAAGAGATGCTTATCAAAGTGGGATGTCAAATATAAGAATCAAGTTCAAGATTAAAAGGGATGCTTATTGATGTGGGATGTCAACTGTGACAATGCCCTGCTACAGTAACTAGTCAATGAACTATATTTGTTTTATTGGTTTTAGGAATGAAACTAGTAAGATACGTAAGAATAAAGCTTGTGCTTGTGAGGTGTCAACTCCATTAAAAAACTGTTGACAGCAATCAATGGAATAACAAAAAAGATTCATGGTTTTACAACACCTTTGACTGACAAAATAAGCATTTAATGTCAAACACTTGAATATATATATTTTCATGGTCTAGCTGGACAGACCTGCAAGTTTCAATCTAGGACATGTTCATAGATTATCACCCCGGTCTCATTGCTTTGCACTCTATAAAATAAGTCAGTTTCAACTTGTTTCCTGTTAATTTCAATCTCTTCACCTGTTAAGAACTTTCATATTTATTTCTTCTTCACCTTAAAGAATACAAGTATACTTTGGCACCTAGCATTTTCCGCCGTTAGAACGACTTGGACATAACTGACCAATAACAGAATGATTTACATCACATGAACTGACATCTTAAAGATGCACAAACACGATGTACATTCTTTATAAATTCCGTGACATCAGAATTTAAATTTTCAGTTCAGTCCAAGATATGAAAAAGCGAAACTTGGTCACACATCAAAAAACTTTCTTTTATCAGTCATTAATGAGACGACATATATAGTATATCAGCAATTCAGGGACATAACACAAAAACATGCCCTTCCATGCTAATTGGACATTAAGTTAAGTTTCCACATTAGTTGCTCAACATCATTGCAACCTAAAGGAAGAATTGCTCCATAGCAACTTAAAGTTTACCTCTGAAGTAAGAAGTTCCTCGAGCTGTTGGTTTTCCGATTTGTATTCCTGAAGACGAGATTGAAGTCCAGTACAAACCTGAACAATTGAGTAAGCATCGTCAAGTTACAACTTCGGTACCATCTCAGTAATTTTATTGTGGAATAAATCCTTCTAAAGTAGTCTTGACCGAAAAGATGGCTTGTGTATTAAGTAGCTACTTGGGATCATCTCGTTTTTATTGTTCAATAAATCCATCTGAACAGTCTTGGAACCGAAAAGTATAATCAGGAAGGAGGGTATGGTACGTGGAAGTGCAAAAATCTTGATCACGAGTGACCAAGTCCGCTGTACTTGACCCAAGTTAAATGACACACCATCAGCTGCTAGCAAAGCAAAAAGGCACCACCAGATGGATTTCTCAATTTCATGGTTACTTCTCAAGATTCAATTCAACCCAACAGAAATATACCCAAATACCCTCTTGTTCATCCTACGACGTATGATCACAGATTAGAAAGACGAAAAGCTACTTCCGACATCATAAACACGATCCAGCACGAGATTGGAACAGAAAGAACCAAGAAGAACATGGAAGAATTGAACCAAGAAAGACAAAATGCTACTCAGAATTTCACCAGATTGAAACAGAACACCGAGCAAAGACCAAAACGAGACTGGCGAAAGCGACAAGCAAAGACAGGCAATCTGCTCTACCTCACACCAAGGCTCAACAGCTCGAAGATCTTAACACAGGCACATGAGCTCCTTTCTCTACAGCTGGGAAGCCGTCTGAAGATCTCAAAGAGGCATTCATCCGGGAGTTCCTCGATTGAAGATAAATGAAGGAGTGATACTGGAAGCTTGTTGTTGGGGCGATTTCACCGACGTATGAGGTGCATTCCAGCTCGGTGGCTCAGATTGAATCTTCTCAGCATCTGTGGTGCAGCTAGAGCTAAGAGCGACTCTAATTCCATGTGCAGACAGGCTTCCGGCGAGATGAATTGGTTCGTCGCAATCCTACTTGCAATGTAGTCATGATGAGGAAGGACCTGATTCCATGAGAGACTTTGATTCCATGCGCTGCGCTTTGCGAGGGATGAGCGGAAGCTTGAAGACGAAAGAGACGAAGGAGTTGATATCTAGGGTTTTTTTAAGTCCCGGGCCGGCCGTAAAAAAAGCCCGACCCGGACCGGCCCGGCCCGAAAAATGAATAATATATGAAATTTAGGCTCTTACCCAATCCAAAGGAGGCCCGCCCCGAAAAAGCCCTAAATTTCCGGGTCAGGTCGGGTCGGGCCGGTCTGGTATGGGTTGGGTCGGGCTTTATTGACACCCCTAGAAAAAGCAAGTGGCAGGTTTTCTAGTTGAAGATTAAAGAGAGGGAGCAATGATGGTAATACTTTAAGGATGCGCTTAGTATCATTTTTATTTTTTTATTTTTTGAAATAAAAAAGAATAGAAATTCGTTTGTGTATGTCAATTAATTTTTCTATTTTCCGGAATACAAAAGTGGCCAGGGATAGTTTTGGAACAAAAACAAGAAATAAAAAAAATCCATTTTTTTGTTTTCAGGAACAAAAAGAGAAACAATGTCAATTTAGACTGTGTTCGTTTGGCGAAAAATATTGTGTTTTTGGAAAATGTTTTCTCAGAAGTCATTTTCCTAAAAAATATTTTCCCGAAACATAATTTTCCGATGTTTGGTTGAAATATGAAAAAAGTTTCGGAAAATATTTTCCGGCGTTCGGTGACCGCCGCCGCCTTGCTGTGTTCTTTTTCCTTCTTCTTCTCCGGCGACCTGCCAAAGGTGAGCTTGAGTGTCGCCACAGGCCGGCGAGGCTCGAGCTCGCCAGATTTCGGCGAGCTCGAGCCTCGCCGGCCTGTGGTGAGGCCGAGCTCGCCCGAGGCCGGCGATCTTCGGCCTCGCCGGCCTGTCGAGAGCCCAAGCTCGCCCTAGGCCGGCGAGCTCCGGCCTGTCGCGAGCCCAAGCTCGCCCTAGGCCAGCGAGCTCCGGCCTCGCCAAATCCGGCGACCTAGGCAAGGATCGAGCCTCGCCTGAGGTTGCCTGACGTCGGCGAGGCCGAGCTCGCCCAAGGCCGACGAGCTCGGGTCTCGCCAGATTCGGCAACTTGGGCGAGGCTCGACCCTCGCCTGAGGTCGCCACAGGCCGAGCTCGCCCAAGGCCGGCGAGCTCGGGCCTCGCCAGATCCGGCGACCTGGGCGAGGCTTTGGCGACCTCGGGCCTCGCTAGATCCAGCGAGGCTCGAGCCTTGCCTGAGGTCGCCGGAGCCTCGTCGACGTCTGGCGAGGCCCAAGTTCGCCAGTCGGCGGACGCTGGCTGAGGAAGAAGAAGAAAAAAAAAAGAAAAAAAAATATTGAAAATAGGAAGAAGAAGCCCTTCTTCCGGAAAATGACTTTCGCTTCTCAGAGGCGGAAGTCATTTTCCTCAAAAAACTGAAGGAGTTTGGGGGTGGGAAGGAAAACATTTTCCGCGGGAAAACATTTTCCGCCCCCCGAACACTGGAAAACGCGGAAAATATTTTTTCGAAAAATATTTTCCGCCAAACGAACACAGCCTTAGAGAAACAATTTCATATACCATTAAATCCCAAAACCCCAAACCCTAAAACCGAAACCCCAAAATCGGAAACCCAAAACTCGAAACCCTAAAACCCAAACCCCAAAATCGGAAACCCAAAACTCAAAACTTTAAAACCCAAACCCTAAACCCCAAACCCAAAAAGCGAAACCCTATATCCTAAAACTCTAAACCCAAACCCTAAAACCCGAAATCCTAAAACCCTAAACCCTAAATCCTAAAACCTAATACTCGAAACCCCAAAACCCAAAATCGAAATCCAAAACCTGAAAATCCAAAACCCTAAATCCCAAACCCTAAAACCCAAACCCTACCCCAAAACCAAAAATCCAAGCCCTATATCCTAAAACTCTAAACCCGAAATCCTAAAACCCTAAACCTAAAACCCAAAATCCTAAAAACTAATACCCGAAACCCCAAAAACCCAAACCCTGAACCCCAAAACCCAAAACCCTCAACCCCAAACCCCAAATCTCGAAACCACAAACCCTAAACACAAAACCCTAAAAACCTAAACCATAAATTCTAAACCCTAAACCCTAATTTCCTCGACCACCACCCGGTATTTGCTTTATCTATAAAGAGTCATTTTCTTTATGATTGTATTAAAGTCATCCAATTCTATATCATAATATATTTTAATTCTATTTCTAGTCTAGTTTTATCCAAATATGAATTGTTAAGTCTTCACTGATATTTTTATAATTAAATGAAAAAAATTGGGAATAGAAATTTGTAAGATTGTACCAAATACATTTCTGTTCTTTTTCTATTCTAGGAATAGAAATTTTGTACAGTTACAAAACGCTATCTTTTGCTCAGAAACTCGTCTATGGAATAGAAATAGAAAAAAATTATTGCTAAATAGAAATTGTTTCTAGAAATGTAAATGTTACTATACTCACCCTAATCAACTCCGCATATTTGTCGAGGTCATAATAAGGGTCTGTTTAGTAACGTTTCTGTTTCTTTGTTTTTCTGTTCTTTTGTTTCCCGGAACAGAAAAAGAACAGAAATCCGTTTAGTAAAAAAAATCTATTTTTTTGTTTCTGGAACAAAAAAGTGATTTTGGAATAGATTTGGAACAGAAACAAGAAGCAAAAAAAATCTACTTTTTTGTTTTTGGAACAAAAACAAGAAACGATTTTTTTTGGAATCCTCCAAAAACAAGAAACAATCCATCGGCCGCAACCCGCCCATCGCCGCCTCTCGCCGTCCTTTGCCGCCACGTATCGCCCGCCTTCCGCCGCCGACCGCCTCCCGCTCGCTGGCCGCCTCCCGCCCGTTGGCCGCCTCTTGTCGTCGACCATTGTCCTCCGCCGCTAGACGCTTGTCGCCACCGGCCGCCGTCCTCCACCGCTGGCCGCCATGCTCCATCGCCCGACGCTGGCCGCCACCCGGCGCTGGCCGCCTCCCCCCACCAACCACCCAACGCCGGTGATCACCCACCACCGGTCGCCGTCCTCCGCCGTCGGCGACCACCCACCACCGGCCGCCATCCTCCGTCGCCGACCATTGTGCTCCACCGCCCGACGCCGGCCACCACCCGGCGCTAGCTGCCCTCGACTGCCGGCCACCTCCCGCCCTTGGCCACCCGACGCCGACGGTCACCCACCATCGGTCGCCATCCTTCGCCATTGGTCGCCGTGCTCCATCGACCGACGCTGGCCATCCTCCGCCGCCAGCCACCTCCCGCCGCCGCCCCCCGCTGCCGTCACTGCCACCCGACACCACCGTGCTCCGCCGCTGACAGCCGTGCTCCATTGCCTCATGCCGCCGGCCACCATCCTCCGCCCCCCGCCGCCGACCACCATCCTCCGCTCCCCGCCGCCGACCACCGTCCTCCGCCCCCCGCCGCTACCCGCCGACCACTGTCCTCCGCCCCCCACCGCTACCCGCCGTCCTCTGCCGATAGCCCAGAAGGGAGAAACTTGTCCATGGAATAAAAATGGATCATTCGCGCCCTAAACGCGTTTCTATTCTTTTTCTATTATAGGAATAGAAATTTTGTGCAGTTACTAAATGCTATTTTTTGTTCAGAAACTGTTCCAAGAAATAGAAATAGAAATAGAAAAAATTATTTCTGATCAGAAATTGTTTCTGGGAACAGAAATGTTGCTATGCAGACCCTGAGAGTAATTCCTCTCAAGCGCAGTAGAATGAAATGGAAAAAAAAAAGATTTATTAGTGAGTCTCTCTAAATTAAACAATAAAGAAAGGAAGTTTTGCATTTAATATATCGTTCTTTTATATTTTGTCCAATAGATATTTTGAAAACCCAAAGTTTTTTATTAAGTATAATTGAGTATGATTAACAAGTGTTTCGATATCGTTTGTTGACAAAATTAACGAAGAACTCGATTTAGGATATCATTGAATAGGAGCGTGACCACAAACGAGGACAAAAGGAACAATAAATTACTTCGGAGAGGGTGCAGCGGTACGGCAATGGTGGCAAAGGGTGACGCACGTGCAAATATTTGCAAATTTTTTTAGCTTTCTTCGGAGCAATAAAAGGAATTTTGTTGGATCCGCCAAAATTTTATCTGGGGAATCAGAAGACAATCTGCCTGCTAGAGCAACCAAAAAATTCTTAATTTGATAAAAGAAAATTCTTTTCAAAAAATCATTATCAAGGAAAATGTTTTTCCATTTTCAGGTTAGAGCATTCATTTTCCTAAATCTAAGTATGTATATTTTCTTTAACTATAAATAATTTTCTATTAACTAATCATTTTCAGTAAACCAAATGAGTAAAAATATAAAAAAACTAATTTGTAAAAACCTCTTTTACTCAAACAAACAAGCCCTATATGAAATACAAGGTGATTGATGAAAGTGTGAGATTAGATCCGACCATAGCCCCAATTGATCATGTCCACGTGGTGGAACAAATCATATGTCCAAGAACCTTTCAAAAATTATATGAAAGGTCGTGAAGCTTCTAATTGCGTGCCAACATTGGGCAAGCACATCTAGTTCTTGATCCTATCTCATTATCTTCCCAAACCTCTAAGCTAAAAAGTAGAATTTGCATCTGATAAACTAGGGAATCTGAAAAACTAAAATAACCGAACTAAGGGTCTGTGTATTAGAAGAAAAGCTATTTTCAAGAAGTTGTTTTTCCAATTTTTCAGTATTTAGACAACGGAAAAAAAGGATAATGGAAAACTAATCAATTTATGTAACACGTTTTCCATTGACTAAAAACAAGTTTAAAATAGAGAAAACAACTTCCCTTTCTAGTAAGAAGGAAATCGTTTTCCATAAACCACAAAATAAATGGAAACTAACCATTTTCCTTGAAGATGATTTTCATAAAAAATATTTTCCTTTATCATGAAATTTTCAGTGAAACAAACACACCCTAAAACAGAAGGTTTTTTTTTGCTTTGATTGGAGAAGTATTTTATTCATTTCTCTAAATTGAAATAGCAGAGCTCATAAAAGAGGTTTGTCATAAAACCACAACATAGTCAGTTAATTACCAACTCATCCCATAAATATTTTACTTGCCAAAATTGAATTCGGATCTCCCTCATCTGACAACCATTTAAATTTCTTTCCTTGATCAAATTCACATCCTTATATATATATTTTTTGTCACTCTCAACGCATTAATTTAAATCTATTCTTACATGCATATTCATTTTTTCTACAAAATTATTGTACAAGATCTTTATAGTTATGACTATGTAAAGCCATAAATATGTAAATTAATAAAAAAAA